AAATTTTTAAAGTCCAGGCGGATTTTAAAATGAAAAAAGAACTTTAGATGTTAGACACAAAACCAGTCTTTGAAATAAAAATCTGAGCTGATGAAGCAAACCACATGTAGATGACTCAGAAGATGACAAGGCATTGACCTTTAGGAGAGATGGGCCGGTCTTCGTGGCCCCTCCTCCTGGCTTCTGGGCTTCTGATGACGTCAACCCCTTCCCTTCTTTCCTGGGTCTGGGGTGACAGCTGCTTCCTGTACTCACTGTGTGCCTTCAGCCCTCCGAGCCATCCCTGTGTGACCACCTGGGCTCGAGGCATCCGTGACCTGCGGGGGTCTCAGCAGTCACCATGCTGCCCCCTGCACTCGAATGGGGTGAAGGGCCAAGGACAGCAAGTGCCTGAGGAGCCAGAGCAGCTGCTACCCTGAACTGTCATGGAGGGAATGCCAGGGACTAAAGCTGGGCTGTGCAGTCACTGCAGTGTCCCTGGGAGGAAATTGACAAGGACACCTGCCTTACCTCTCAGCTCAAGTCACAGGATGACAGCCACAGCTCTTCCATGGCAGCCTGCAAATTCCCCTGTGCCTGTTGGGCTGACGGGACTGGAAATCAAACACAGCATTCCACCGTGTCAGTTGCAGAATCCCCAGGTCGCTTGAATTCCCAGCCTCTCTGCATTTCCTAGGTAAAAGGCAGGGCACTGCCTGGCCGAGTGGGGCCTTGAAACTGAGACTCGGGATATCTGGTTGCCCTCAGTGGAAGCTGACAATGGGCAAGCCCCCAGTCCCCCAGAGCCTCCCTTGCGGACGGAAGTAGCTTGCCCAGCTGTGTCTGGAAGGCTGGTGTTCTGTCCTTTGAGGACTGTGTCATTACCTCACCTGGTGCTGATCCCTTTCAAGGGGACACAGACTGTCCTCCAGACCCTCTGCCACCACGTCCTGTTGCCATGAGACCCATAGTGAAGTGAGTGAAGTCAAAGTCACTCAGTCGTGTCTGACTCTTTGCGACCCCATGGACTATACAGTCCATGGAATTCTCCAGGACAGAATATTGGAGTGGGTAGCCTTTCCCTTCTCCCCGGATCTTCCCAGCCCAGGGATGGAACCCAGGTCTCCCACATTGCAGGTGGATTCTTTACCAGCTGAGCCACAAGGGAAGCCCTTTAGACCCCTAAGTGGGTCCAATTACTGCATGATCCAGAGCACAGGGATACAGTATGGGTGGGGACATCTCTCATCTCTGCCCCTCTCCCCTACACTCCTCCCTTCCTGCTTGAGTGGCCTGCAAGTTTTCTGTTTGTTCTTCTCAGTAAGCAGGGAACCCCATGGGGACCATTTCAGGATTACTGAGTGTCAGGCACCCCGTTTCTCATCCTGTGCATGGCCCAGCAAGGTATTGCGCCACAGTAGGGGGATAGAATGTACCTGTCTTCCTCTCTGGTGGCTGGTAAAGCTGTCCCTGGGAGGCATATCTGTAGGTGGGCATGCTCCGACTGGAGGACTCCACTCCCAGACCCCAACTCTCCACGTGGCATCACTTTCTCTGTCCTTTTATGTCCCGGAGGGCTTGTGCTGCACACCGTTGCCACCAGCATTTCGTGCGCCTTCACGCATATCCACCACCACGCCCCCGCCCCGTCCTTCCACCCCTACCTCAACCACCTCAGCTTTCTCTTCTCTCGGGCCATATTTCTTGCTCTCTGCTGGCCGTCAGCCCTAGGTTGGGAGCACTGCCCTTATTCGGCTTGTTTATGGGGACCCAGGCCGCCGCGGGCCTCTCTCTGCTTCGGGTGCTGAGGCTGCAGCCTCACACCGTCAGTCTCCTCTTTCAGGGCGGCCCCACCCCCTGGGGCGGTGCAGGTGACGCTGATTGGCTAAGGCTCAGTGAGTGACCGGACAAAACCCAATGACGTGGCCCGGGCCGCGCGGATTGGCCAGCCCCGGGCAGGCGGGCGCAAGGTGTGCAGAGAGCCGGCGGGCGGGTGGGGTGCAAGCCTTCGCCAGGCAGTGGCCAAATGGTGGGGAGGTACAGGCGGGTCGGAGGTGGGGGGTTCGAGCTGCCAAGGCTGTCTAGGAGAGTGTTGGCCAGAGAGGGAGGAGGCGGGGCCCATTCCCTGCCGAGCCCTGGGCGATCCCAGTGAGGCTGGAAAGTGGCTTTGGTGTGCGTGCGTGCGTACGGAGTCCAGAAGCCACTGCTGGGGAGTGCGAACGCACCACAAGCTAGGGTAGCCCTCAGTGGGGACATTTATATGACATTTTTAAAATCCTGGCCACAGCCCTATGGGAGAAGCTGTCTCCATCCTCAGCACTGTCATCCCCTTTGACAAATGAAGCAGGCCAAAATGGGTGACAGTTCACCTTTACATACATGAGTAGGCGACCTGCAGATTAGAATCATGCGGCAGGGTCACCAGAGTCTGTGGCTCCAGAACAATCAAGGGACATTCAGTCACTTAAGTGCCTAGACCAGTTGACAGCATTCCTGTACCCTATCACCTCGGCTACTCTGCACCCTGGAGGTATAGCTGGGCCACTCTCATTCCTACATGATCATCTCTCCTCCAAGCCCCTATTCCTAAGATCAGCTCTTCTGTTCTCGCCCAACACCTGCGGGGGCCTGAAAGTCTTTTGGAATGGAGATTTTACCATGGATTGTATTTGGAACTCCATTTAGGCTTCAACAGTGCACTGCTGCACAGTATTTGTTGTGGATATCCCCAAATCAGGCATTATACATCTAAATACAAGCTAGTGTGGTGCATGGTCACACATCCTGGCTTATCTGTGTTCACAATGGCTTTACCTTAGAGTGCTTTATAGATGTCATGGTACCACTATGGTCATTGTTTCATTCACCCCTCATCAATCTGCTTTAACCACACACACACACTCAAAAGAGTAAACAGAACTATCACATGACCTGGCAACTCCTAGCTTTATATACACCCAATGTAAGTAAAACTATAATCCACAAACTTGAAAATGAATGTTCGTAGCATTATCCACAGTAGACAAAAAAAGTCTATTTGCTTGTAAAAAATCCAGATTTCTACAAACTGATGGACAAAACAGTCTATACATAAGATAGACTATTATATGGCCATAAAAAAGAATGAAATTCTGTAACATGCTCTAATGTAGATGAACCTGGAATACATTATGCTAAGAAGATAGGAGACAAAAAGGTCACATACTGTATGATGCCCTTCATACAAAATGTCCAGAATATGTTAAATCCCTAGAAACAGGAAACACATGAGTGGTTACCAGGGGCTGGGACAGTGAATGGGGATGGACTACTCAGGGGTGCAGTTCTCTCTGGAGTGATACAAATGTCCTAAAATGAACCACAGTGATGGTTACAGAACTCTCTGAGTATGCTAAGTACCACTAAATTGTATTCTTTCAATGGGTGAACTGCATGGAATGTGAGATGTCCAGTTAAGTGAGGTAAAATTTTGATTATTTGCATTTTATCAGTTTTCTGTATGACCCTGTAATCAACTGTTATTTTTATAGAAAAATGTCAACTACTTACTATTTACTTAGCTGCACCAAGACTTACTTGCAGCATTGCAGCATGTGGGCTCTAGCTCCCCAACCAGGGATTTAACTGAGGCCCTCTGCATTGGGAGTGCAGTCTTAGCCACTGGACCATCAGGGAAGTCCCTGGTATTTTTAGTATTTTTGTATTTTGATAAATTTGATATATTTTCTATCAATTATATCAACTATTTTTAAAATTTTTGAAGTCTTATGAAATAAACATACTAATTATGCTAATTTTACAGGCCAGGGAACCAGTTTAGTGATTTAAAAAGCCAGGAACAGAAAGACTAAGCCCTGAAGACGACTCAGTGGCAGACTGGTTCTTCCATCTCTAGCACACATTCTAGAACAAAAACCCCTTGATGACCAGTTAGTGAGAATGATAGAAATAAGGACCACGACATACCAGATACATCCAGTCAACTTTAGTTTTGAAGCTCTGGTCTAGCTTTCATTTATCTGGCAGGTATTCTCTTGTATTCCAACCACATGGTTTAAATGCTCTGACCTAAAATAAGGAGTTGGCTCAGGGCTGGCTTTTCAGGCTGCATACTGTCCTCTAATGGTCTACCTCCTGCCCACTACCCTTTCCAGGGCTTGATGGGGACATGGATCTCTATCCTGGTTTAAAGAACAGCTTCTTCCTTATTTAGGATCTTATCAAGGGGAAACCAAATCACACATATAAGGCACAAACAGAGCGAAACAGCTAGCCGATTCTTCATTGCTTTATTAACATCAACTTTAGTATCGTCAGTAGATGAGTACAATTGAGCTAACAGTTTGGTTTGGTCACTGGGTAAATAAGACATTCCTGAGATCTCACCAGAGAGCACAGTGTGGAGGTCAGACCTAGTCGTGTCCTCTCTTCACAGAACAGTCAATTCAAACAGCACAGGACATCCTAAGAACTTTCACCGCTGCTCCACAGCCTCTGCACAGGAGAGGAGGGATGAAGGCAAACACCAGAGGAAATTCCACACCAACTGCAGTCACACAGTACCTGGAAGGCTACAGGTAGGATAGTAGCACCTGACCTCATACACGGGCCATCAGTGGGCAGCATGGTGGTATAATGCTGCCCAACTTGGGTGACTGCAGTCTACAATTCAATTCACATTTTTTTTTAAGTTATGAGGAAAATGCACACATTTAAGAAACTGTTACCTTATGTTGGTCTCTACCCCATTATCTCTAGTCTCATCAGAAAACTTGCTATTAGATGGTTATTTTGTTAGCTATTCTGTCACTTCAAACTTTCTCTTATAATCCACTTTAATGATTCAAAGGTAAGAGTTATACATGTATATGTAGTTATGGCTTAACAAGAAAGCAGTTAACTTGCATTGTTTTTAAAAAGAATAAAGCACAATAGCAGAGATTTAAGTGATCATTTGGCAACAAGCATAAACATAAGGTAAGGTAAACAGGCCAGTCTGTTGGTCAAAGCCAACAGCTAAGCTATTGCATTAAAATACGTTCCACAGCCAATATGATGTGTTTGGAACTGATTCCAAACATATCCAGCAGATCACTGGGCTTCCCGCTCCGAGGGACCCCTGACACTGCCAGCTGATGGACCACGATGTCAGGCTCCACGGAGACGGCTGCACAGACGGCCTCCCCGATGCCACCTGCAGAAGCAAGGGATATTAGGGTCTGTTCTGGAAGCAGCTCGTCAGCCTCAAAACCCCATCATGTAGAGACCTTTGAATGTGTGATTCTGTGGGAGAAATGTTTCTCACTAGGCACTGATTTATAAACAACCGTTCCCTAACTGGCCAGAAGAGTTCTCATTCAAAAGTACAAGTCTTCAAATTGCTCCCAGCCTTACTCATGGCTGGGGTTATCTCCACTGGGGCTCCATGGACGCAAGGATCTGTGGAGATAGAGTCTCAAACCTGTCAGGAGCCCAAGAATTGGCTGCTGACTTCGGAAAGGCTGGCGTGCAAGGCTGGCCCGGGGGTGGTGCCGGGGCAGTAGGTTGGTGCGAGTCCTTGATATAAATGAGACACTTTCGCTACTGCTAAGAGGGGTCTCTGTGCCTCAGCTGTTGGCACCACAGGGTGGTTTATGGGGCGCACCTGCTTTCCTCTGGGAGTCGGGAAGTTTGGCACGTGAATGGCAGCCATCAGCCCTTAATAATACTCGTGGCAGTGAGTCTCGAGTGGGTTCCCTAGGTCTCCAGGGGGGCATCTGTTGCCGCCAGATAAGGGAGCAAGCTGGGGGCCCCCCAAAGGAGGGAGTGAGGGAGAGAGAGAGAGAGGGAACCAAAGGCATGGGGTCTTCACCCCTGACCTGTGTCTTCTGCCCCCTGGGGGTCCCAGTGTGTGCCGTTTCCTTGGAGAGTGCTTCCCTGCAGACCACGGGCTTGCTCTGGAGCCCCTGACACATGAACACATGAAGCTCCCCACTCACTCCTTTGCTCTACCTGACCTTCCCTGGCCAAACACTGCCCAGCCCCTCTCCCTGGCCACACTTCCTCCATTTGCTGTGTTCTCTGCTTGCAAGGTACTGTCTTCAATTTTTGCAAGGGGCAAACTATGAATCAGTCAATACACAAGAGCAACTGTGAAGCTTCTTACGATCCCTCCTGCCACAATGCCAAGTTAGACATTCCTCTGTACTGCCACTGAGCCACCCAAGGACCAGGCAGGGCACACTGTGCTGAGTACACACACAAATGAGGATGGACATGAGACCTCCCTTAGCTACTGTAGATGTGCAAGAGACCCTACACCCACACCCTTGCAAAGAGCAAGTAATACAGGGTGAGTGGTTGGCTGCAGAGACTTGGACTGCCCATGGTCATGGCATACTTCTGGTCAAGGAAAACAAAACATGTTCCACCAAAGCAGACTATCAAAATGGTCTGCCCCCAAGGCTTGCACATACCTTCTGGGTAGTGATCCTCCACTGTGATAATCTGGCCACCTGTGGCTTTTGCATTGGAGATGATGGTGGCAGCATCCAGAGGTTTAATAGTAAACAGGTCAATGACACGGATAGAAATATCTGGAAAACAGCAATAACCAGCTTAGTGTATCAAGCAGGCTTAGACTAAAAAGATGCACTGGGGCAGACAGGCAGCCCAACCTCCACATCTTCCAGCCCAAACTTCAGTATTCAGCAACCCCCAACTGACCTTGCTTGGAAAGATCATCAGCGGCAGCTAAGGCTTCGTGCAAAGTAATTCCAGCTCCGACAACTGTAATCTTGTCGTTCACACTTTGACGGATGACCTGGTGGTGTGCCCACAAAACAAAAGTGCTGCGCTTACTACACGGAATGAGTCTCCCAAGTGGAGGACAGGCTGCTCTCCAGAGCCTACCAATTTCAGTGCTTCACAGTTCAGCACACTGACCAATAAGGACTGCTCTCTTTAATAAGCCCCACTTCATGTTTATTTAACAAATTTGTCTACCTTTCCTCATGATTTACAATGCCAAATCACTAAATTCTTTTACAGTATGTATGCAAAATGACCCTTTACCAAAGCATGTGGATTTCCAACTGGAATGTGAAAGGCAGAAGGCCAGAAGCAAATTGGACAGCCCATCTGCTCCAGTATGGACTCAGCCCCACCAAGGGGTCTGAAAAGGCACCACCTCTGGACTGCTCAGGCCTCTTTCTGGGGGCATCCATGCAGATTGGACTCTGATGATGAACATGCTAATGAAGGCTATTTGAGAGCACCTTGGGGTGCTCTGTTCCAAGCATCCTGCATGCCCAAGTGCCCTGTGATGCCCATGCATTAGTGGGCCCATTCTGTGACCGAGGAAAGCAAACCTAAGAACAGGAGGAACTCACCCAAGGCAGGGTTGAGACCAACAGCCAGACCCATATGAATTCAAAGCCCATGTTCCCAACCATCTGCTAGTCTATAAGCAGACAGGGTTCTCTGCTCTTTTTTCATTGGTTTGTTTCTTTCAAAGTCACCCAACCAAAGGCACCTGGAATTAGTCTGCATTGCATTCCTCTCTATAGCTTTCCCTGTAACATAAGCACCACTGCTGACTAGATATTTAGGGTTTCAAACCACTTGCCCCATCCTTTAAGAATGGCCTAGCCTTTGTATGTGCATGTATGTAAATATATACACACACACCTATATGCCCCTTTGCAAACCCAGCCTATAATTATTCATGCCATGCATATTATCACACATAATTTAACTCACATCAGGAAATTTACTTCATTTTGTCAGGATAGGACAAACATCACAGGGAAAAAAAAGACGAGAGAGATGTGAAAACTCTGAAAACCACATGACTGTCACCGAGACACCCTCCCTGCCACCCCCAGAGGCAAACAGATGGCCTTGAGTGGGAGTCCAGGGAACAACAGCACCTGTAGTTTACACTGAAGAGTTCAGCTTTTCCATTCAGTGGAATGAAACTATGGGGGGGCTAGGAACTCTTCTGGATATACCTGCTCTCCTGTGGCACTAAAGCTATTCAGAGCTCATTTATTCATTCTGAGCACAACCACTGTGAATTCTGGAGCAGCCTAGCCCTTATCAATCAAGTTGGAAGTCACGTATTGCTCCTTTAAGAGTGACTATCATTCTTTTAAACACTTAAGAAGGGTATTCTAAAAGGCTTATAAGATAAAAGGCAGGACATAAAACAGTCCTACGCAGCATGATCTCAGCTAAGATATACACCTAGAAAAAGTCAGGAAGAAAACATGCCCAAACGTCTGTAAGGCCTGCCTTCTAGGTGTTGGACAATCATGTATTTTCTCCACAGATGCTATTGGCTTTCTGCACACACAACTCTGAAAGGCAGGCCCACAGACAGCAGGTTGCTTACTGGGCTTGCTGCTTACCCTTCTTTGGCCCTCATCTTCAAAATATGGCTGCTAACTATCTGTGCTTCCAAGGCTTTCTCAAGAACATAGGAGATAGGAAGCACCCAGCAGGCCTGAAGGTGTATCCACATCCCGCAAAACCAACCTCAGGGCCACACGATGGCCAGAGGCAAGATGGTTCATGTTTGTTATATTCCTGGCCTCCAATGGGCAAAACAAGAACCTAACAGATCTCAGATCTACTACTCAATTGAAATGGGTTCTATCATTTTCTTAGCTTGACGCTGTCTGTGGTAACGTACAGCCAAGCAACTCAAGAGTCTTCAAGTTATTTATCTTTAAGGGTTCAACAGAGACTCCTTTCGCAAAGGAGAAATGTTAAGTTCAGGCTGACATTGGCAGAATATTACTTTCTGAAGAAAAGCAGGCAAATATCATGAATTTTTAAAAAAACTAGAACAAAGGAAGAATGAAGCCTCAACTGTCGGGGCCCCTAGCTCTGGCTTTAAAGAACAGTGCTCCCAACACAAACTAATACTGGAAGATACAGGAGAACTTAAGGCCTTACCTTCGCCTGTCCAATCTCAAAGCTTTCTTGTGGGGTGTAAATAATTGCAGTTTCTGGCCGACTGGTTCGAATGTAGCACATCCCCTAGGGTGTAAATGAATACCAGAGCCACAGTTTAGAAAATAAAACTAAATTTCCAACTAATAAACCTTAAAAAGCAGCTGGGAAGGAATGAACAATTCTTAGTATGAAAAACAAAATGTACATTCTGGAGCGAGGGATAACCATCTCTAACCACTGGCAACAGGTCAGGTGTTACTGATCAGGAGGCAAAAGCCTGTGAGGGAAGCTGCTGGATGCCCAGTGACAAGCTCTCCATGCTATCATGCTCACCCCTTTGGGAAAGCTTCCTCAGATACACCCTGATCTGTTCTGTCTCGACAGAATGTAAACTCGGGGCACGAGCACTTACTTGCCTTGAATAGAAACCCTAAAACATAATGGTAAACAATTTTTGTCACAACAGCATGTAATACTTCATTCTTAGAAATACCTTAGATACCAGAACATAAAATTACTCATCTTCCAATGAGAAGCTGTCAATTTTTTTCATCATCATCACCTTGAACATATAAATAGAACTATAAATGAATACTCAAATATCTATAGAGTATTTGTTAATTTGTGTGCATGCGTGCTAGGTCATGTTGAACTCTGCAACCCCATGGACTGTGTAGCCCGCCAGGCTCCTCTGTCTACAGGGCTTCCCAGGTGGCACTAGTGGTAAAGAACCTGCCTCCCAGTGCAGGAGACCTAAGAGACCCGGGTTCAATTCCGGGGTTGGGAAGATCCCCTGACAGGGGGAAATTGTGAATTCTCTGTGCCACCTGAGAACCCAATAGTTGATTTACATACATATTTAAATCATACGTGATAAACTAATACATTAATTTAAAAACACTGCTTCCTTTTGTTCATTTACATGCTATGAACCAGTTCTGTTCAGTACATTCTTAGGAGGTAAAATTTACTTAAGTGGAGCACACCCTGAATTCTGACAAGTTATACACCATGTATCTGTCTGTCTCCTCAGACTGGAGAGCATCTGTACTTACCCAGAAAGTTCCCGCATGCCTCTCTCCCACCCAAGGAGCAACCTCTATTCTGATGTCTCTTTTGAACTTTCCACAGTAAGATACCACAGCACACATGAGCTTGTGCTGTATGTGCAGACATAAAATAATGTCCAGGATAATACACCAAGTAGAAAAGTACAGAACCATGTGTGAGCCCACTTATGTTAAAAAAAAAAAAGAAAAAAGAAAAAAAAAGTCAAAGAAACTCATGTCTCCCACACGTTGGAAATGCCAGGAATGGAACTTGCATGTTGCATGACCCACCTCAACTGTGTGCAGGGCTGTGTGCAGGGCTGGGGGGTTGTGGTGGTGAGGTGAGTCCGGTGACTGCTAGCTGCAGAGTTTGGAAAGGTAAAGATTCTGTTCCCTCAACTTTCCTTCAGCTGCAGGGTTCTGTGTCTCCTGCACTGCAGGCAGATTCTTTACCCTCTGAGCCATCAGGGAAGCCCCTGCAGCTGGGTTCTGGACAAGAGCCAGGTTGTGTCCAACTGATGCCCCGGGTGAGACTTCAGGAGGGGCAGGCAGGGCAGAAGTCAGACTCTTACCCTTCTAAGCAGTTTTTGAGGAGGGTGAGCCAGGGCTGGGGATTCTAGGGTTCATCTGCAGCTGCCGCTGACAACTCTCCAGCTTTCTGGCTATCACGAGGTGGCAGTCACACACTCTGAGTCTAACACCTGCACCTGGTGACTTGTCACTGGAGCCCACTCCAGTGGGCTTGGCTCTGCCAAGGACTCCCAGTCCCCAAGTCCCACAGTTTCCCCCTCTTCTTGACCTAGGTCCCACCCCATACAGGTCGCTGGGAGTTTGACCTTTTCTGCACTGTTCTTTACAATGCAAATGTGTTCATGTTCTACATGCTTCTATTACCCTTTTTGGGGTAATGGTTCTATCTTTAAAGGGAATCCTACAGGACTTCCCTGGGGGTCCAGTGGTTAAGAACTCGCCTGCCAGTGCAGGGGACACAGGTTAGATCCCTGGACCAGGAGGATCCCACATGCCACAGAGAGACTAAGCCCATGCACCGCAACTACTGTAGCCTGTGTGCACCCTAGAGCCCATGTTCTGCAACGAGAAGCCATCACAATGAAAAGCCTGCACACCACAACTAGAAATGAAGTCCCACTTCCTACAACTGGAGTAAGCCTGTGCAGCAACAAAGACCCAGTGCAGCCAAGAAAAGGCTGCAATCAAATTACCTGTGACAAATATCTATTACCTTTATGATGAGACAAGTAATATCAAACCATCAGTACCAAACTAGCAGCAGAGACCAGACACATTGTTTGTCTGCACCAGCATTCTCTAAGAAATACCTTGGTATTGGCTGCCAGGAAAACAGCATGCTCTGTCGAGATGGCATCACTTGGATAGAAAATCTTGCAGTTCGGAATGGCTCGGAACATGGCTAGGTCCTCTAGGGCCATCTGGGAGGGGCCGTCTTCACCTGAGAAAGCAAAATCATAGCCCAACAAAGAAACCCCAGTAGGAGCCTGCCCTCCACTGGATGAGTGACTGTGCTGCCTGCCATGGGAGCCACCATCCCAACAGTCACCACAGACACTGCAAGCAACACAGCAGAAGCCACTTCTTGGCCTCGAACCTCGCCAGCATCTGGCACTCAGTGTGATGGGTACTGCTGCCCTAGGTGACCCGCACTCTCTTCCAGGTACCAGGACTCTTCCCGTGTCCTCTTCTCCGAGGAGGGTCCCTCCAGACTCTGTTGTTTCTTCTCTGTGCTTTTACCTTTTCCATCAAGAGATGAAAGTTTTCAGACTCGAGTGGTCTCTCATTTCTCATGGCCTTCAAAGTAGCTGAGCATTACAGAACATACCTTCAGGGTGCCCTGGGGGTACTGTTGGAACTCATGGACTTCATTGAACCCAATGTACACCAGGGTGTCCAAGCTCTTCCAGCTAGGAAGGGGACTGCCATCATGGACACTGCCTGGCCTGGGACTGTTGTCTCTCCAAAGAACTTCAGTTCCTCTGGGTTGGACTTAGAACCACTTTTCCACTTGGCTGACTTGAAAACTAACTTTGCACCCAGCCCCAGGAGAGGCCCCTGTGCAGGCCCTCCTCTCTCCTCTTTTCCCTTGAATCTGGCCCACAGAGAGTCTCCTTTGCCACTCAAGCTCTCCCTGGAAGTCCCTGGGACAACACCCAGATGTGCAGTTCCAGCCCTCCCCTCCAGCCTTCTGGCAACAAGGGTCAGCTGTCAGTCACATCTACCTTGATGACCTGCCCTGCCACAGGCATGTCAGGTGCCCCATCTTTCTAGAGTCCCCACTGCTATCCTCCACAAACACAACTCCCAGATGTTTCCTAGGCAAGAAACTACTGGGCACTGGCGTTTTGCTTCTCATGCAGCTTGGGACTTCTCCTGTCAGCAATGTTGACGTCTTTCCACAGGCTCTTGCAAGTTTGTTCCATTTTCTATCCAGTGCTAATGCACACCTCCATCCTCCTCCTGGCTCCCCCATTTCCCATCCACAGTTAATGCCCCGATGTTGGGCACCTCGAGGCTTCCCATTCTATCCAACCAGGCTGCTTATCCCAGCAGAGCCCTGGCAGGCTGTTTGTCCCAACTCAGACTAAGGTGACCAAACAGCAGGAAAGACTTCTGTGATGCCAGAGTGGCCTAATCACTACTAGTATGTGGCTTGACACAGAAGAGGCACTGAGGATAAGTATTTCTCAATGACTGAAACAATGGGCACTTTACAGTAATACCAGGAGATCAGCTAAAAAGTTACCCAGTTTCTGGAACTTCTAAAATGGCCTTTTTCAAAAAACTGGTTACAAATAATCAAACTAATATCATGGAACTCTATGTTGGGCAGTTCAACTGCTCACATGCTGATCTTTCTCTGTAAAGGAGGAGGGCAATTAAGATGATGGCATTGAGAACTCATACCTATGGACACCCCACAGTGGGACCCAATAAGATTGATGTTGGTTTGCGAGATGGCTCCCATCCGGATCTGATCAAATGCTCGGATCCAAAAGGCAGCGAAGGTGCAAGCAAAAGCCACGGTGCGACCATGGGTGACACATCCCAGTGCCACGCTCACCTGCATCACAGAGAAGCTGAATCAGAACACTCTTGGAGCCCACTTCCCCTCCTGTTTCCCAGTGTAGAGTGTATGCTTCTCAGGATCACCTATCCTTTGTGCCCCCTCACCTTGCCACACCCCTCCTCCAGCCACATGGGAAAACCCCAAACCTGGCAAATTCACTGTGTCCCCTGAACACTGCCAGAAATGAGAGGAACTGAAGTGCTGGACCCATTCCTTCATATCCAAGCTGGGGAACCTCGAGACACTCAAGGCCACCCTGCAGTCCTTGTGGCTCTCCTTCCCACTCTCCTCGTCCCCTGCCTCTGTCCCCTCTCCCCACCCTGCTGAAGCTCATCCTTCTCCTGCTTTCTCAAGGGCCTCTCTGACCATGCAGTTGTCCCCTCCCCTCCCATGTCACCTCAGTTTCTCCCTCACTTTCCCCTTGTGCTCCTGCTCCAGATCCTGCACTTCATCCATGTTCTCCTTCACAGGAAAACCTTGCATGCTCCCTCATCTCCCACTTTCTGCACATTCTCCATCATCTAGGCCGCCATCCCCATGAGGGACCTGGAACCTGCCAAATGCAAGAGGTCACCTGAGTTCCTCTGCATCGCATCTGACCTCTGAGGAGCATCTAGCACTAGGGAACGCCTGCCTCACTGGATGTTGCTGCTCCCTCCCTGACTGGATCTGCCAGGTGGTGCACCTGGACTAAGTCCTGGGGTTGAGTGCCACACTCCTCCTGATCTGCCCTCTTCACAGGGAACCAGCACGGGGTCCCATGGTGTCATTCTGATCTGCATGATGCTAAGGTCTCCTCTGTCCCTCTATTGCTCACCTCTCCGGCAAAGCCAGGCTCACACACCCTGGTGGCCTTCAAACTAGAAGATGAGTATCTCAGAGGTAAACAGAGACCTTCCAAAGGGCGCATGGCTGTGGCTGGCTGGTCTCAACATCAAGATCCTTGACTCCCACATCTGCCTGCTAGGGAAAGGGCCCAGGGCGTCCTTCCCACTGTCTCCCTGAGAATCGCCTCTCAGCAACTAACTGCCAAAAGGCATACTCTCGCCCACCTCAGGTTGTTCCTTCAGTGGGGCAACATCCTGGAATGTAAGAGCTCCAGAAACAGAAAGAATAATTTGAAATAATCACAGCAGCCTTGAGAAACTACAAAGCTCAAAAGACTGGATAACAAATCCTTCCGTAAGTCAGGGGTTTTCCAATTCTTTTAACAAAACTGAAAGTGAACCTAAGTGAAGTGTCAATCCTTTACAAGTAATTTTCCACAAACAACTGGACATGAAAGATCACTGTGATTTTCGGCTTATAGCTGGGACGAGATTCAAATGAACTGAATGACGCTGCTGCAACAAAATTCTCACTTCCCAGCACCATATCTTCTTGAATAAGGTTTTCTGGAACTTACATCATTTAAATAGAAATAGGTTTTGTTCTGAATCTTGTCTCATTCTAGCTCTAAGTGTACTTAACTACTGCTACACAAGCTAAAAATTATAGCCATAGCTCAATCCAGAAGAAAAAAATGGTAATGTTCAAAGGCCTGTGGATGTAGGAAACAAATTTTAAAATCCATCAATGTATATGCATAGTTTATTGAAGAATTATCAGTAAAAGGCTTCCATGAATAAGTAGTAGAATGGAAGTAAGAATTCAGGTGGAAAAACATTTAATTTCTGACAGAGAGAGCCTTTGTCTAACTGGATGATTTAAGTATTCGAGTGTCACAAATTATAATATACGGGAAATTACATCCTTGGCATCAGTTAAATCTAGATGCCAAGAATATATTTAGATGTGAACTTAAAAAATTCAATGAAAAATTTAGTTGTTAACTTAAAGCTTAGATCTACTTAGAAAAAGACATTCAGCGGTTTGGAAAGCAAACATATTTGGAGATAAATGATCTATCCCTTCTGACCCACCTGGCATCCCTACCCCCAGTCTAAGAGGTAGTCTAACCCCGCAGGGCTCAGCGAGACTTCCTGTGTCCCCAAAACCCATTCCTGCCCCAGTCTTGTCTGTCTCCCAGGTGCTCTGGCCTATGCCCTAGTGCCAGCCTTGGTTCCACCTGGTCATCTACTCTGCATGAGTCTGCATCTCCCCAAACCCACAGCCACTGTCCTGATCCAAGCTGTCATCTCCTGCCACTCCCCTACTTCCCTCAGCAAGCTCTTCTCCACACCAGAGTCTTGGGCCCTTCCTTCTGCTCCCTGAACAGCTCCAATCTGGGCATGCAGCAGAGCTAGCTGGGCACTCTGCTGGGAATGCTGTCCCTGGATCTGCACATGACGGACTCCCTGTCGCTGAAGTCTCAGTTTAAATGTCACCTCTTCTGAGAGCCTGCTCCTGATTGGCCCTAGTCATGCTCTCCCCGTAGCCACCAGTTTGATCTGGCAGCACAGAACACTACTCACTTGCTGGCTGCTTCTTTACTAGGTTTTTTTTTTTTTTCAGTTGCTGGTTGAACGAATCAATGCATAGGGAAGCAAACTTTTGAGGCTCAATTCAGAAAAATATGAGCTGTATTTTTTTCCATTCAAAATAGAAATAAGGAGACCCACTGAAAAATGCTCATATCCTTACAATTTCAATGACCTGGTTTACTGAACTGAGGGGCTTAGATTCCAACACTGACAGGGCCAGGGAAGCACCGTGAACAAAGGAGCAGGCCAGCCAGAGGCAGGGACATGGTGAGATGGCTGTGGATGCCCATCTAAACAGGGCCCCTGCTTGACTCCAGCCAACTGGTGGCAGGAAGGAGGGAATGTTGTTCCAGTGTTGCCAGATCTTCCCATTCGTTAAGAAAAATCCAGAAATCTGGATTCCATATAAAAATTTCCTGACTTTAAAAAGCTGGCAACTAATTTAAAATATTTGTAAATACTATTTGTTCCAAACAAAATATCTCTGGTCATGTGAGGCCTACTGGCCCACAGATTTCTGGCCGGTGCTGTTTCTGGCCTCTGTGATGTGAGGGTCAATAAATGTGTGCTGTCCTCTGCACGGGTGCAGAACTTGAGAAGTCAAGGCATTTACTTGCACGAACACTGAAATATCTAGGTTATATCAGGCCCCAGGGTGGAGAGACAAACCACAATCCCTTGAGGTTCTGCACCTACTGGCCACAGCCAGGCAATCCTACAACATCCCAGGGGCCACCTAGAGCTACTAGGGAGCTGGGCATTCTTCAGACCTGGAGCCCTGAGATCAGAGGGCTGCAGCCCGCAGACTTTCTGGAGAGTGTGTGGGGCCATCTAACCATGCCTTTCCCAGAAATCCTGGAAGCCAACCCTCACATTCTACCTGACTGCTCTCTACGTGTTTCCCTGAGACTTTTTCCCTCCACTTCCTTGGCTTTTATAAGTGGAAAGAAAAACCGTAAGGGGGGCAGGCCTCCTCGAGCGGGTAGCCATTTGTCAATGAGATGACTCAAAGCGATGTTCCTAGCACACGTACCATGTTTTGCTCAGCAGTAAAACACTCGATGAAGCGCTCAGGGTGTTCTCTCTTGAATGTGTCAGAAAAGGTGGAGTTCTTGGTATCACCATCCAGCACAATAACTCTGTCATTTGCATGGCCCAGCTTGGCCAGAGCCAAACCACATGCTTTCTGAGTAGCTATCTGAAAATCAACAGGAGAGTTTCTTAGAATGCATTTAGAAGGCAGGTGAAATTTGGTAGAATTATGAATTGTCATCCTCCTTAATGAAGAAAGCAAATTTGTAATTCACCAATAATCTCCCTTGGGGTAATAAAAAAGGACTGCTGAGACTTCCCTGGCAGTCAAGTGGTTAAAACTCTGTGCTCCCAATGCAGGGGGCACAGGTTCAAGTCCTGATCAGGGAACTAAGATCCCACATGCCATACATGCGGCCAAAAGGGAAAAAGCAAAAAACAAAACAAAAACAGGATTGCTAGCCAATCTTACATCCATACTTCTCTCACTTGAGTATTAATTTCCCAAAAATAAATCTGTTCTTGTCTCATTCTTATAGTTGATTAAAAACTTAAATTTCCCAACATGCAAATGCCTCTGTGACTTATTTTAATTATAAAGCTGGTTAACAGGGGCTTCCCTGGTGGTCCAGTGGTTGAGAATCCACCCTGCAATGCAGGGGACACTGGCTCAATCCCTGCTCATGGGAGATCCTACAGCTGTGCAACAACTGAGCCCATGCACCACAACTACTGAAGCCCATGTGTCCAAGAGCCCATGCTCTGCAACTAGAGAAGTCACGGTGTGAGAAGTTGCACAACACAACTAGAGAGTAGTCCCTGCACTCCACAACTAGAGAAAGGCCATGTGTAACGAAGATACAGCACAGATAAAAATAAGTATTTTTAAAAAAATGATAATACTCACTGTAAATATTAAAATGGAAAACTTTGGAATCATGATACAAATAAAAAATAATTCCATTAGCATACTGTTTGAGACTGGACTGAACCCATGGATTAATCTGGGGGAGAACTGACATCTTTACTATATTTTTTCTATTAAAAAAACCCCAGATTTGGTATTCCCTCAAAGAGTTAAACACAGAATTACAATTATGACCCAGTAACTCTACTCCTAGGTAATTACCCAAGAGAAAAATACAAATACACAAAAAGCTGTACACTAATGTTCATTGCAGCATTATTCATAATAGCCAAAACATAGAAATAACCCAAATATGCAGCAACAGATGAATGGATAAATAGCAGCCTCAAAAATTTGCATATTAGATGATCTCATCTATATGAAATGTCTGGAACAGGCAAATCCACAGACACAGAAAGTTAATTAGCAGTTACTAGGGGCTGGGTGGGAATGGACAGTAATGTTTGTGAATATAGTGTTTCTCTATGGGAAGACTGAAATGCTGTAAGATTCAGCATGGTAATAGTTGCACAACTCTGTCGTATGCTAAAAACCATTGGATTGTACACTTCAAATGGGTATATTGTAGAGAAAATTTTACCTCAATAAAGCTGTTATTAACAAAAATAAGGTTTGTCTCTTCATTTATCTATCTTTGTTCATTCATTTAAACAGTCTTAAAAATATTTTTTAAAACAGGCAATTCACAGAGATGAGTACAAAAGTCAAGTTATGAAAGGATATTGAATGAAGAGGCCATCTTCCTCCTGCTCTCCCAGTTCCTCTCCCCAGAGGTAAGGGAAAGGATAGGGTTGTGAAGTATTCTTCTGACAGCATGTGAGCTTTTAAAGCTATAGTTTCATAAGTACCTTAATATAGACCATATGCATTTATTTTTAGCTATTTTTTATTGCTACTGTAAAAAGGAATAATCTCTCAATTTTATTAATATGAGAAAACAATCAATCCTTATATATTAGTTTTGCTACAAGCTCTCTTTCTAGACTCTTATTTCTAACGTATTTTCTTATTTCTTTTCTTACTCATTCTGATTTCGATTCTCTTTTGAGTTTTCCAGACATACAACTCTACCACCTGCAAGTAGGCTTGCCTTCTCATTGTCAGGAGGGAGTCTTATTTTGAACGACCACAATTTCTCCTCTCTTAATGCTGGTGAATGATTTGCATTACTAATTTGAATTTCACTGACTCCAATACTTCTTTTAAGGCACTAAAGAAGTTGAGACTGGTGAATGTCTTATTTCAGTTCCATTAGTTCAGTTCAGTCACTCAGTCGTGTCCAACTCTTTGCAAATGTCTTATTTAGAATTTTTAAATCAATATTCCTAAGTGAGGCTGGCCTGTAGTTTCTTCCTTTGGGCTAGCTTTATAACATTTTGGCTTCATAAATGACCTTCTCCATATTCAAGAAGATTTGAAATAGTGGAGGAATTAATCTATCCCTTGAAGGTTAAAATTAAGTCACTCTTGTAACTAACTGAGCCTGGCACTTTGGAGGTATAACGCCTAGACGGTTTTCTCAAATTTTCCTAATGGCTGTTATCTCCTTAAGTGTTTTTAAGAATTTTTATTTTTGGCCACACTGTGCAGCATGCAGCATCTTAGTTCCCTGACTAGGAATCAAATCCACGCTCCCTGCATTGGGAGCGTGGTCTTAACCACTGGATCACCAGGGAAGTCCCTGACCTACTTAGGCATTTTGTGTATTTTTACTTAACTTTGGTATTTTATGTATTCCTTAAGACGGTCCATTTTTTAAATAGGTTTTCATACCAATTAGCATAGTTTTCTCAAAATTCTCTGAATGTTCTCTCGATTTGTGGTAGTCTTCTCTAGTGACTAATTTTATTCATTTATAGTTTTCATCTATTTAAGTAGACTAGGTAACGGCTTGCCTACTATTTAGTAATTCAGAGAGCCAACTCCTAGATTTGTGTATTAATGTGACTTCTTGTTCTTTAATTCACTAACTTTTTAATCAATTGGCCTGTGTCCCTAATTTCTATTAATAAAATATATGCACTTCAAACGAAAAGTTCCAATAATCTCACATACTTTCTAGACATAAACACTTCACCATAATCAATGCTGGAATCAACATTCATTCTATTCTGCACGCTTGCACAGGTATTTCTGTAGGATAAATACCTGTGAGTTGCACTTCTACTTTGAAGGGTGTGAACAGTTGGTGTTAACACATATTACCAAAGTACCTTCTGTTAATATGTGCTTTTTATTAACAGCTTTCTTCTGCTTTTAAATTTGCTTTCTAGTTTCTCAGCCAGTTCATTTATTATTAATCCATAGTACCATGCCAAGAAAACATAAGTAACACTCAAAATGTTCCCAAATAAATAAGGAACACAAATAAGAGTCAGAAAAATTTCCTTCCTCCCAGGCTCGCCGCCTTGTTTCCTTAGGTTGTGAAGAGCCTGCCTATTTTGGATCTGCTATAATATACCAGAAGGCAGGACACAAAAATCATGATAAAAACAGAAAGGGTTTATCAGGGTGTCATGCCTAATTTGTTTCCTTTTTGAAGAACTAGCCTTCGGTGAACTGGTGCTCTTCCTTGTGTAAACCAGGGATTAAGCCCAAAAGGTCAATCCAGCTAGGCCCCTGTCCTTCAAGTTGACATAGAATCATGGAGTTTCATGCACAATGGTCTGCCAGACTACAGACTGAATTTAGGAAGCAAGCAAAAACTGCATAGCACTGGAAGCAAATAAGTAGTGACTGACTGGTAAGAAAATTCAGACCCGAGTTAAGTTTGAAATCAAAGAATAAATATCAAAATAGTAAAAAGGTAAATCCATCTTTGTTGCTTATAACCTTTAACTAAATGTCACACCACCTAAGAATTGGTTCATCTGGGGAAATCAGAGTAAACAGGAGTCCTCTGTATTTAGCAAAAGCAGAGAAAAAAGTTTGCCTACCATATCCCTGGCTTCATAATCAGGTGGAGACGTCATTTCTATATCTGAGATGTTGACTTGAGGTGAGTCTTCAACAGGGGCTTTTGGTTTGAGACTCTTATTGGTCTCTATCCGGCTCGCAATTAGTTTGATAATTGCATCTGCTCTTTCTTTGGGCATTGGCTTTCCATGCCAATTTTCTTCATCTTCAACACCTGTAACCCAATGGATAAAAGACATTTATTCTGTAACTCACGAGCCCCTGTTCAGTCATCTGAAAGACATTTGGAAGGGAAAGATGTCAGCCACAGAGTAAAAACCTGGCACAAGGGGCCTGACATGGTACTGTGGTGGCAGGAGACAGCCTGGATAAAGGCTGAGAGGCTCTTAAGGGGGCCACTGGCTAACGTGCTGGTGAATGGAGGGAACGGTGAGGGAGGTGAGGCTGGAGACAGGCAGGGAGGATCTTGTGGGTACAAGGAGTTTGAGTTTTGCCCAAAGCAAGATGGGAAACCCCTGAAGTGTTTGGAAGTGGGGGAGGTAACGGATCAGATCCATGTTGTAGAAAGATCACCAATGCAGGCATATGGGGACTGGCCTGAGGAGACTGAAGTGAGGGAGAGAAGACCAGGCTTGGGCAAGAGAGGTGGAGAGGAGTGAACAGACTTGAGACATACGTTAGGAGCAGAATCAATTAGAATGGATGACAGACTGGGTGTGTGTGGGGGGTGGCACATAAAGGAGAGGTGTAGTCAAAGAAATACCCAGGTTTCTTACAGGAGCAAATTGGGCGAGTTTTCATTTATTGAACTGGGTGTACCAGAAGACTATTTTAAGGAGAAGTCAGAGAATAGTTTTCTTCTAAAATGTTAATATTAAGAACACAGCAGAAATCACTCCCACTGCAACTATTTATACTGGAGATGAACAACTTTAGGTGTCCGCTTTGAAATCTGCAAGAAGTTATTAAGATTTTCAACCGCCCTCCTCCCCTGACCCTCAGTTCCACAGCTGCCTTTCCCAGAGGGGCCACTTTACTAGCAGCCTGTGTGTCCTCCCAGGTAGCGTGGGCACAGGCCATTGCATGCATGTGCATACATTCCTGTTTAAGTATCTGCTCACACACCCACTCTCACTCTGCATGCCCTGTGGAGATGGTTCCCTGCTGGTCCGATAACTGATGGGACTATCCTCCCAGCCGCTCCCTCGTGCTCCCTGGTGCTCAAATCACTTGCTGGGCGTCTGGGTTTCCCCTCCCCAGCCCTGACCAGATCTGCTATCTACAAGCATCAAGGAGAGCAAGAGCGTCTGGCACATGTCAGGAGCATAATCACTGTGCATGAAGTCAGCTGTCTTTCTCCTCAGCGAGCCTCAGCCTCATGTGCTGTGCAGAGGCTAACAACCCTAAGCATAAAAGCAACACTTCCTTACTTGGAACGCCCTGGCCCTTGAAGGTCTTGGCAACCACAGCAGTGGGCTTGTTCTTCATTTGAGCTGCCTGCCAGAACACCTGGCACAGTGCCTCCACGTCACGGCCATCCACCACCAAAGTATTCCACCTGTCAACAGAAGAGGCATCCAGGTTAGAAGGCGAAGGGGGAAGGAGCAGAAAGGAGGTGACTTCAAGTAGGACAATTACCCAAAGGCTTCGCAGCGCTTCTGATAGACATCTATGGAGTGCTCGAGAGGCAAAGCGGTGCTGTGGGCCAGACGATTCACATCAAAGATGGCCACAAGATTGTCCAGACTGTAGTGGGATGCAAAGGCCAGGGCCTCCCAGACGGAGCCTCCTGAGGACTCACCATCTCCCACGAGGCAGAACACCCGGTAGCTGGGGCAAGTCAAGAGAGGTTATGACCCTGCCTGGGGCTCCTCTGAGCCACTCGAACAAGTACATTTCACAAAGAGAAACAGAGGAAGAGAATGAAGCAGGTGCTTCGGATCACCAGGTTCCTATGAGACAGTTTTCCTTGTCACAGCTGCCCAAACTCAACAGCTGAGGAATCGCAGATTTAAAAGCTTGGGCCTCATGAGATGGGCTGCACCTTTGGCTAATTTTCTCATTCTAGCTGCAAACGCTATTTCTAGGTTCCTTCACTTCTCTGGGTCCAACAAACAAGAGGGGACGGAGAGAAGGCCCTTAAACACCCAAACATTCACACATACAGTCTCTTGGTAAGCTCTTTAAAGAACGACTACCTTCTATTTCTGATCTTACAAACTTATTTACAGTAACCATAACAATCAAAACATTCTACTTCAGGAGCATTTGTTGTTGTAAATATTAAAATCCTCCACAGCAGAAACATGAAATGTTTATACCAATAAAATATAATGCAGACCCAGGCTGTAAATGGACTTTTAAAAAAGTGATTAACCACACAACAGGGACTAAGAGAGGCAAAAAGGAGAGATGAAAAAGGTCAATAGTCTTATGGGAAATGGAGCAGGGCAACTGCCCCAGCAGTGGAGAAAGCACACCATGGAATGTATGTTCTAGTCCCATGGTTCCCCCAGGGCACCTGAGTCTGTGGCCCCTCAGTCCCAGGTTCCAGCCCAGGCAGCCCCTCTGGAAGCACTTTATTGTGCTTTCTCCACTGCTGGGGCAGAAAAATGCTTAAGTGAAATTTTTAAAGAGCGACTTACCACACAACAGGGACACCCCATTTTGCTGCTCCTGTATCAGCAGCACTCAGACACACACCCTTATAATAAAGGCATGAAATTGCCTGTCTTTTGGAAGGGGGAATCATTCCAAAAAGAAACCTTTGATTATTAACATACAGGGGTCCCAAATGGAAAGGTGAACACACCATCTGTTCACTCTATAGTGAAGCTCACTGAAAGATGGGAAACAGGAAGATATCTATCTTGGTAAAGACTTGAATCCTAACAAACTAGTTTCTATACTGCAGGCAGCACTTAGAACCCAACCAGAGATGCCGTAACAGTTTC